CGCGCGGCGCCATACGAATATAGATCGCGCGGCACGCGTGCGTGAAAACATGTCACGGACAAAGCGAATCGAGACTTGTTCCGGTACTCCGCGATAAAGCTTCAGCACGTCGATGAACGTAAAGTTGAACGTCTATAAGAGCTTTATTGGCCGTTATAAGCTGCGACCGTGCGCTGCCGCGTTTGATTTTTTTTTTCCTCCGCGGATGACGTACGCGCGTGAGAAAGTGTATGTCAAAGTCTACGCTGATAATCGGTACTACGATGTACGAGTCGCTCAGAAGCAAAATGCATATAATCATATATAAACAAACGCAAGACCGCGAAGACCATTTTGCGTAATATTTTTATAATCTTAAAAGATTAAGATTCTAATGTTAAAAAAGTAAAAGTCTAATCTCATTATTATCTTTTTATTAATATCTTTGATTATATGAAATGTTTTCGATTCTATCCTTTTAATATTCGCGTTTTGCATTTTGACCCTGCAAATGTTGAAATCTTCTGTAATGATTGAAAATGTGTACGGAGCTTGCTTGACCAAACTGTCTGAATATTTCGACCGACTGGCTCAAATGCTCCGATTTACTCTCGCAAGCTGGTTCTAAGCCACACGCGATGATAATTCCACGTGTAACAAGATTAAACTTGCGTTTGAGAAAGTGCAAGGGAATATCGATCAGTGAAATCAAAACACTTTACTACAACAAGATTAAATTTGAAAAATTATTTCATTAGAAAACATATAAACACGTATATGTATATGTATATATATATATATATATATATATATATTATTACATACGTACTGTACATATATAATTTCAATTTTATATTATATTTTTATACTCGCGTGTGAATTCGTGTGCACTTTACATAATTGAAATAAGTATTCACGAGAGTAGATATATCGCAGTGACAAGGCTATCAATTATATCTCTAAGCGCTGATCATTTTTCCTTATGTGGGCAGGCAGGTATGAATGTCCGGTATGAATAATATGTTATGGGGAATAAAAAACGAACAAGGATGGGAGTGCGTTCGTGTTAATCGAAAAAAACTTGACGGATCTACATGCTCCGCGATGATAGCTCATTCGCGCCGACAAAGTCTCGTCCAAAGCGCACATTACTTGTCAAACGGCACGCGGGCTAGCGAACGGAAGTCCATTGCATAATATCGAAAATTGCGTAACTCTACAGTCTCGCCGTTGTACAGTCAGGAAGTCAAATTGCTCTCCCAACGAGTATTGTTCTCGACTCGATACCGAACGAAATTAAAATCTTTCGCACGTTTCGTGCGTTGCATTAGTGTAAAAAAAAGGCCAAATTCTATATACACATATTATTATAACGTTATTGTAAAAAGAAAATATTATGTTCTATAAAAATAATTTTTTAAACGTTTTTAAAAAGTTCTAATTTAATGGAAATCGTGGTTAACTTCTTGCCATGGTGTTACGCAACAGGCAACATTGTAACTATGGTTAAAACTCCGTAGTACGTTATTATTGTCAGATACTTAAGTTACATAAGCACGAAAATAAACGTAAAATCCTGCTCGTTTAATATAAGCTTGCAAATTATATACAAGATAGTCCTTAAAGACTCTTCGTATCATCTATATTTAATAAAAACTTAGATAATAAAAAATAATATTGATTGATATGTTATCAATATCAAAATCATAAAATCCCAAAATAATATATTTAATAATATATTTAAAAAATGCTCTGCTCTTCCAAAAGTTTCTTCAACGAAAAGAAAAATCCCGGGAAATTTTCCTTCAATCGGAAGCGTCGAAAACAACAGCGAGACGTTAAGCAATTACTTCGTCCGGATTAAACACGCGGATTAAAATCTCGCCGGCGAGACCGCTCGATACAATCGTCGAGCATTCCGCATTTCCTCGAGTAACGATCTCCTCGTTAGCGTGGGCGAACGTGACCGCTTCTTTTTCCACGACGCGGGTGTGTTTCGCGCCGACTTCCGTTCGTCGCATCCTCGAGAGGGGCTGAGGACTCACCTCGAAGACCTCGAGTTCCAGCGTGTCGACCTCGACGCTCATCGTCTATCCTACGCAAACTATAAACCCTCTATAAGGCCAACCTCTTCTGCCACCTTCTGGCACCTGAGCCGCGCCGCCGCCGCCGGCGGCGAGACGATGACCTCGTCCCCCCCGCTTCGCGCTTCGCCTCTTACATAGTTCTTCCACCTGGGGCCCACCACCGCGGTCTTCTCGTCTCCGCCGATCATCGCGGGGCCGCATTAGTTCACCAGCTGGCACCTCGCGATCCAAATTCCGACGTACCTGGTCACCGCACCACCACCGTACCCACCACTCGACTGGCTCTCGTTCCGGTGACTCGATTGACTCGGTCGTCCAATCGACATTCTCCCGTAGGGTCCGAACACCCGACGCCCCCGTGCTCAATGTTGCGTACCACCTGCTGAGCGTACGCGTCTTTCACCCGTTAGAACGCAATTGTCCGCCGCCGCGAAAAGTGACCGCGAGGGAATTCCGTCCGAAACTTCTCTCGGTCTTCCAAAGTCACCGGAAATTTGGATTCACGAAAATTTTGCCTTTTAGACAAGACAAGAAAGTCGCGTTCTCCTTGCGACAAGGTCTCGAAACGTCAAAGTCTTCCTCTTCAATGCGATCGCCACGTCTTGTCTGTAGTAGTAACTTCTGCAAGAAAATCGGCGATCCTGTCATCGCGAGATCGTACACGGCAAAGGATCAAGAAAACAACGATGTGGAAAAAACCAAACTTGGATTATTCGCAATGGGATTGTTACGACGCTACTCGTTACATCGCTATTCGTCCCTTGTAGTCAGGTTTTTGGAAACTTTCCAAATGAAGACTGATCGTTGCGATACAGAGTGAATTCAGCATGAATCTCGTAGTAAAGTTTATCATTTATTTTCCCAGAATATATAACATTCTGGGAAAATTATCGTTATCGCTTGTATCGGAAAAACACGTTTTGGTATCGCAATCAATGTTAACTAACAGGTTATACTCTTTTAATTGTTTATACAACCTTGGAAATATAGGGCTAATTCGAGCTGGCAACGAGTTGCCACGTGTAGGGAAAAAAAGGAACGGCGTATTATTATTATCATCGTTGCTCTCCTTACATGCGGTAACGCGGTTTATTCATGGTTAGACGCGTTATCTAACACGCCTTCTCCTGATGAATTCTGTTATCAAGGAAGCAGGGAAACAATGGCATCTAACCAGTAGATTATTGTACTCACAATTAGCTCGTTTTGAATTAATTAATTTAATCCTCGTTCGCATATTAAAAATACTAAAAGCAATTTCTCCTTATCTTCTTCTAAAAGATTTGAAAAGATTTTTAAACGCATTCGTACAAAAATATCATTTTAAGTTATATTTTTAAGTCAACCATTGTAGTTGTAAGACAAAAAAATTTGCCAAATTGTACAGCAAGTAATCATTTCGCAAGATTGATGAATAAATAAATTTAAAAAATAGTTACTGCGTGCATAAATCGAATAGATACAGCGAGGAATATAGGCACTGAAACGTAGCCGCCTGTATCCGACACGCACACACTCGCCGGGCTATTCTCCAAGTTAAATAGACGTTTCCCATCCACGAAAACATGTCATAGAAAAAGATCGCAACGCACACTTATCTACCCACGTGTAGGCTAACTATCGCGTTTATGTGTCAGTAACCGGAGACGGCTCGCAATGGACGGTGTGCGGTATCCCGTTTTCCATCAGAGGCGGCCGTCCGTCTCTCGCTAATTCTAGCTCTGGGTACGCCTATGAAATCAACTACCCTTAGTATTTATGCATAAATACCTATTGACCGCTCGGAAAGCGGCGCATCCGTTCCGCTTCTAGACCAGAATGACCTTATCGGGCAGGTAACAAAACAACTGTGCATCGCAAAACGCGTCTGATGCACTTCCGCCTCGTCCCTAATGAGCTTATCGCGAATGCTGGAAGAACAAGGGACGAGCAATTCAAGATTGCTCTCTCTCTCTCTCTCTCTCTCTCTCTCTCTCTTTTTTAGAGAGAGCGACTTCTGATAATGATAATTTAAAACAAGCAAAGAATCGACAGCGATTGTCCATTAATTAAGGGCGCGTGAATTAAAAGCTGATCGTCGTCTTTCACGAAACCATTAAAAAAAATACGAAAGTATATATCGGCGTATATTTAATTAATAAACATAATGTGTGAGATAACGCTCCTCGAAAATTGCTATCGAGAGCAAGAACACCTCTCGCGTACTAAGTACACGTGCACTCGAGCGAACGCTTCAAGTAGATCCTTCCAGAGTAGCGTTCGGCACGCTCGCTCTTCGCCGTCCTTGATCCCGCATACTAGAGTGATGTCATCGTTCGCCGAAGCCGCCACCTCTGTTGCCGCGTCTAGCAACGAAAATATCCGGGCTTCCTCCCAAAATAATATAACCAGCAAGCCTTGCGGTGACCGCGCGCGTATCCGAGCCCGAGAGATTTCCAAGGATTTCCGCCGCCGAAACCTATCAGTCGATCGCGCCGGAGACGCGATATATAGAAGAGGGCTCTTATATAAGATATAATGGTGCCGAACCAGGAAATTGTTCCAGCATTCTAGACTGCCGAAATACCATCGATATAGAAATAGCGCTGTCTAACTTTTGCTCGCGATACTTACACGTATGTTTAACGTTCAGAAACATTTCAGAAAATGGAACAAGTAACAATATATTACTTTTGCATTTAATAATATTTAAAAAATAAAAAAAATTGAAAAAAGCTTTAAAAAGTATAAAATAATACTTTTAAGAATCATTAATTTGGCGCCAACTTCAAAAATTGAAAAGTATTATTCATTTTGCACCGAATTCAAAAAATTAAAAGGGATTCTTAAAAGTATTATTTTATCCTTTTTAAAGCTTTTTTCAATTTTTTTTATTTTTTAAAAACTTTTTAAAGCTTTTTTTGAAGTTGGTTCGATTTAAAAAAATTTTTTTTATTTTATACTTTCTTAGTGCTTCATTAAATTAATATGAATAATTATTATCGCATATTTTCTTACTGCTCCGTACCCTAATGTTCTAGCGCGATATTTATGTACTAAAACCTTCCTGGAGAATTGCTCTATAGGACAGTGAAAACCGCACTTGATTCCGTCCAGTAGTTTTAGAGAAAATAATGGACATACATACATACACGCCGAATATAGAACCTCCTTTTTTTGAAGTTGGTTAAAAAAGATAACAATTCGATAACTTTTACTTTTCTTACTGAGTTAATCATTTGTTTAATTATTTCCGAATAAAAAATAAATGTTTTTTTTACTTTCAATCTGAAGATGAAAGGCGGTTAAGATGAAGCTTAGATATCTGTTAGTGAAACCAACTGTCGGTTTCCTTTCTCGCTCAGAGAAATCATAAACAAATCACTCTATACTCGTGGGCGGCTAAGTATAGAACGATGGCTATATGCGAGTACGGATATGGATGGTACGTACGGCATAATTAACCCCGGATCTTCTAGAGTGACGCGCGGCCGGCAGTCTATAACAGGGGCTTTCGTGATCTCGTCTGGATTTCGTCTGGAAAAGCACCGCGCGGAGTTTTCGACAATAATGGAACCGCGCGGTACTCCACTTCCGTTAGTAAGTGCGTAGCGTGATGACTCTTTGCTGTTACAACGGGTTATTATAATAGTATAGTCTAAATTGTTATTGTGCGGTGAGACGTAAATTTTTATCCACAATTTGCATGGATAAACATTTGGTATTCGTTTATCGTATGAAACACGCGAGAGAGATCTTGCATATTTTTTCTAAATCGTAAAAATTGTAGAATAAGCGAGGGAAATTTTGCGTATTTTCTCTGAACCGTAGATCCCAGAAACTAAATAAAGAGTAGAGCAATTACGTCAATACGAAGGCAATATATTGCTCGGTTTGTGCAAGTGTGTATGCGAGACGCACTCTCTTGATAAAACATCAAAACTAATCAATTCTCTATCTCTTTCTAAAAACAAAAGTAGAAGACTTAGAAGCATTCCTATATATTGTACGCGCACAAAAACAAAAATTCGAACGGACCGAAAACGCGAGTGATGAAAAAAGGAAAGAGAAAGTTCGGAACACGTGTGCAATCTCGAGGTGTAGGTTTGCGACCGAAATACGCACATCCATTTATACTTCTCTTCGCGCACGCGTCACGTAAGATAAAAGTATCAATATACCAGGACAGAGTACATACGAAGAATTTTCTTACTAAAAGTTGAAGAACCATTCAATTTTTGATAAAGACATGGTAGAGTGTGAAAGCAGACTATATTTTATAAATGGAAAAGTAAATATTTGTTGGAAAATTGCTTTTGAACATCAAATTTTATTAAAATGTTAACCAGTTGAAATGACCCAATACGTGAACACTTGAAAAATTATAGTATAAGAGGATTATAATATCTTCTGTCTATCTCAACTTTGAAAATTGATACATATCAATAAGTCACGTTCGGTTAATATTTACACTGATAGTTATCTTAAAGAAAATTGTCGTTCTGCTTATGACTTATATTCTGTAACATTAATAAAATGTGATTCTCAGCTATGTCCTTAGAAAAAAATATTTTTTATTTTAACAAACGTTTATGCCAATATAATTTCTTTTTCATAATATTTTGTATATCTTATATTTTGCAAACCAATTTTCATTTTTGCATTTATAATTCAAAATTCTTAATATCGTAAATATATTACTAACTCTCCATCTATATCGGGACCTGTCTCGATATATTGATACTTTTACCTTATTTATTTTCCTCCTCAAAGAGAATTTTACCATAGACGCAAAATAAATTATTAAAATTAATTGTAGAATTAATTGTAAAATAACCGGAACAGGCGTCGATATATCTGCATCGGACTTCAATAGGAATCGTGTTACGCTCCATATACATTACCTACAAAGGTGCCGACGGTCTTCATAGTAACGATTGTAATTCGTGGTATTGATGACGAAACGGATATACCGTCGATGCGAGAGAACGTGAAATAAATGCAACGTGCGTTCTCTTATCGATCGCATTGGGTGCATCGTCGTCGTACGCGATCGTCTGCAGCATCCGAGATGCGTTGTGCAACTCGCTGATGCTATGCATGACAGACCATCTTTGTAACGCTGGGTTGTAAATGAAATGTCATTCACAATGCTTCCACGTCTCGATTTAGAAAAAAAAAATAGAAAAAAAAAATAATATTGTATAATAAAAAAAATTAACATTCCGTAAGAATATTCTATAGACATGTTTTTGATGATACCGCGATTTCGTCCATCTTACGTCATTTACGAGCTCCTCGAAAATATGAATTTGAATAGGCGAAACTAAAATCGAAATAAATCCGACGCGCCCGCGTACTCTTATCGTGTCAGCTGCATCATCACTTTTTGCAGCATCTCAGATCCGTTATGTAAGTCGTTGTATCGTTTTACGCGGGGCTACGATGAAGCACTTCAAGGAACACGAGCGATATATGGTGCTAACCGTGCCATAGAGCTTTTTTGCACCTTCAGCCGCGGTAACGGCGATGTGTATTCGATAATTGGCATTCGACCAGAACCTCCTGTCATTCGTTTCAATTATCTGGCTTTGTCGGTGACACAATCGGCTCTGCGACACCCAGACGAGCAATACTGATGAGCCGGGCGCCTTTTTTCCCTCCCTCGCCTTTATTCAACCCGGCTGTATGGTAATGAGAAACGCTGCGATTGTGCGATGTAACGTAAATCCATTTGGATTTAACGATTATTCCGGACTGCGCACGCAAGTTTCGACAGCAAATATTATCTTTGTAAGCGAAAGTATACATGCTATTTTCGTTTTGTTTCTCTATATGCCTTCCAAACTAAATAATTTCTTTAGATTGATATATTGATACGATTTCACAAACGTGGCTGGGATTCAGTTTAAATAAATTTGTGCAAATTGAAAATCCAGTTACCAAAAGCAATCATATTAAAACAATATTGAAAAATACTACGTATTTTTTTGTTTGACACAAAATGCCAGAATAATTGAGTAAAAGTATATAAATAAAAAGACAAAGAATAAATCATTTTCATAACCGTATTGCATTACAACAGGAACCGCTGGATGCCAAAAGTCGAAGGGTCACAAGTCCGGCCGGCCTCACTCTCGGATTATCGCATAATGAAACAATAATGAAACGACCCACGCGAAGTTACAATTTCCTAGGAAACATACGTAAAAGTGGGACGCCTAACATCGCTGTCGGAGGCAATGTTCGCATGACAACCGACGACATTTTATCACTTAGGTGCATGAGTTTATTAGAATTTGTATAATGGCTCCAAGTTTTTGAAAAAGAGCTCAATAATTTATTTTCTCAAAGTAATTAAACCATGAAATTTTAAATCTTAACTCAAATATTTTTTACGATTAAAAAGATTTAGCTTTTCTAAACTTGTTAGATATCTACATATATATATATATATATATATATATATATATATATATATATATTATATTATATATAGAGTATATAAATTTATCTGTTACGTGCTTGCCAGAGAATATACGGAAAGTAAACTTTAACGAAATTTATTTTAATATACGTAATCTAGAATCAGTAAATAAATCAAGATATCTCTGGGGTATCATCACGTAGGCAGCAATCTCGATATTCCGAAGATAAAGTATCTTTCGTTGATCGAAGAGTGAAAACAATTTTCAAACTATTTCGCATAAAGAGGAACGTAAGGAACGCGTAAAAAGAGTCTGTCTAAAACGTCGTGAAACTTTCTTAATAAATTTTTTCTTCCTTTTCTTTCCTTCACGTATATTTTATTCCGACCGGCCAATCGATACTATCGCCGGCTGGCTACTCTCGAATTAGTTCCATTTGTGCCTAATTCCGTCGACGGGTTGAAAAAACAGATTGACATAAACGACAGTACGACCATATATAGCATGTCATGGCATTTTACGATCCTAAATGTTGACACGTTGCTTATTATCTGATAGAAAGTTTTGTTGTGTTTTGAGAAGAGTGCTAACTTTGAGAAGATTCACAAGATCATCAAAATTAAAAATTGCTTAGAAACTAAATCCTAGTTGTATCAATTTCTTCAGAAAACTCCTGCATGCAATTCGAAAAATTCAGAGAATATTTTATTTAAAATAATTTTTCTAAAAAAAAAAAAGAATAATATAATATTATAATTAGAATTTAATTTACTTTTCCTTAGCTCTGGTCAGTATTCTGTCCATGGTATAGAGACTCTAAAAGAAATCTATAAAAGATTAATACGGAATCGATATACGAAGAATTTGTACCTTATCATCAAACGTAGATATTGGTGATATACACAACGTAGATATACGATATCTACAATATCGAACATATTTAATCATCGCAATGTGTATACACAAGCCAGCCGCGAGATATTAATAATAACTGAATTGCTCATTCCCTCTGAGTGTCGAGCATTATTAGGTTGCTCGTTGCTCCAGTTTAAGTTTTCCAGGCCAACAGGCAGTATCGTCTTGCGTAAATCAACGTCCCTATACAGAGTGTCTATTACCATTGCCGGATGTCCTTTCGATCGCAAATTCTTTAGATAGAATTGCAGAAAATCTATGCATGGAAAATTTGCGACTCAAAACACTTTTAATTTTCGACTAAAAAAATCTTGGCTCAAATTAAATTTCCCTTTAAGTAAACATTTAGGCTAACTGACGGAACTAATTTAAGCTCGACTGACGAAAAACAAGCTTTGATTATTCATTTATATTTTTGAAGCCCGGCCAAAAATCTCTAATCTCTGACGTTAAGTGTCACCGACGTTAATTAGATGTTCTATCAAATTATGCGAAAATCTATTTTAAAGTTATCAACGAATGTCAACAGTCATTATAGCTGATGAAGCGAGACACTTCATGTAATAGGGGTCCAGATTTCCATCGGCCGCGATGGAGCGAAGCAATTAAGCAATGGCGGATTAAAGTAAATTGCGTCATTACATCTATAAGTATCCGGGCGGTAAACTAGCTAGCAATAACTGATCTTAACCTCCTTCGACTTTACAGTGTACGTAACCTGCGCACGTAACGAGCAATTGAATCTCTTGCCATAAATTCAGGTTTTTAATTCTTTGCGCAATAATGAGAAACTTTAGTGATAGCGCGCGAACATGTTTACAAGTTCCATAAATAATTCGCAAAAACGCATCCGCTTGATTCCTCAGGTCAGTGCAGCTGAAGTTTATACACGCTTAGGATAAACGGAAGCTCGTTTTCAGTGCAAATTGATTTTATTGTTAGTTGGCCCTGGTACGGCTACAAAATTGACAATCTGTCTGCCCGCTGGTCCGACGACTTTACGACCAGCACTTTCGATCAAGATACTCCGCGAATATAATAGAATTCTCGATGAGCCACCTATTTACCTTTTACCTTGCAATAATTCAGCCACTAGTTGATTGTCCAGTCCATCTGCGTGTTTATTATTGATCCGCGCGTACGTTTGTAAAGCGACCGATAAAGATGATTAACAACACGTGGCATTGGCGACGCTCCCATTTATTCTGACAGCGCGCGACCGTACGAAAAAATTCCCCCGGGGGGTGGAGGGGCCCTCGTCATCAACGTAACGCTAACCGTAATTTCTCCCGGCGAATACATTTCCAAGGTCGGGTTATGCTCGAGCGAGCCGATAAACGTCTCGCCGTGAAATCGTGAAAGACAAGTTAAACGACGCGTTTCGCGACACGCTGGAAAAGACTTCTAATTAATTAAACTTCACCGAGCGTTCAAATGAAAACGTGAACCTCATCCTGTCCCGTCATTCTCTGCGGCTTTATCGATCGACAGGCACGCAAATGCAGCTGCAAAATCAACATCGAAAAAAAAAAAAGGTTGAGCAACCTACTTTTCATCCTGCGGCGAAAAGGAAATGCACTTTGCATTCGATAAACGCTAACGCGATATTGTCCTCCTCGCTTTGCGGCCTCTTTGCCCGTTCTAACAAAGCGAATTAATCGAAAAGGAGAACCCGGATAAGACACAAAAATCTTTTGCTCCTTTTAAACCGTCCCTTATCCTCTCCAGCAAAGTTACGTTGACGTCACGTTTTCCCCGAGATACGTTTAAATACAGTCTCGATGCAATTTGAAGATTTCCTCGGCCACAAGGGATGATCTGCCCCATTTCAATACCCCGGCATGGTGCTTTTCCACTCGTCATTACGTCGTTCTCGAGGGAGCGACTTCTTTACTCTCGTCGCGCTCGCAACAAAAGCACCCTCGCCGACGTCGTTTTAACGATCGTCACATCCATGTATAGAAGGAAGAAAAAAAGCAAATTCAAGACCGAAAGAGAAGAAAGAGAAATAAATAGGCTCCGCACATATAAAGATCCGACTGTTCCGATTTAAACATATAAAGAGAGACTTAATCGGCATTTCTCATTCAACTGTGTGGACTAAATTAATTTTTCCCGAAACCGACAGAATTCACCAATAATTACATCTCCACCGAAACAACAGGAGGGGAAACAACAGAAGGGAAAGTTCAATTGACGTTTTCTTGCGAAATAAACTAAATTAATTTTTCATCTCCGGAAATCAAACGATTGTTCGTGAATTAATTGATCTCCGCTGAAAAACAAGGTAAAAACACGGTAAAAATAAAGAGCTAATCGATGCTCCTTGCTCAACTGAAATAGATCAATTTTTCAGTTCTCAGTATCAAAGATCCTCATCCCTTGATTAAACAATAAATTCCACAACAATTTAATCATTTCTCGATAAATAAAAGCTTTTTCCAAACAATTTTCGCGACTAATGAATGCTCTCTCAATTGATTCGTTCGTATTCTCTTCTCGGTAAAAAAAAAACACACAAAATCTATATGATCTCGATTTCGTGGAAAGAGAAAAAGAGTATGAGTCAGAAAAGAGAGGAGCCTTACCGCGTAAGCGCGTGCAGCGACGACGAGGCGCGTACGAACGCCCGTGAGGCTTTTAAACGGCAATCGATCGCCGTCGCGATGAGGTCAACGTTGGTTATCCCGGAGCGTATACGCGGATCAACGCGGCGGAGATTCGCAGTTAGCAGACGTCGGTCTCAGGATCGTCGTGCATTCGTCATATATCAACGCCCTGACGAATCCCTCGATTGACCAGAAATCCGAACGGAGAGGTGGATGTAGGTGCGATGACGTCGGCATGCGTGATAGCGAATCCGTGTCATCATACCGTCCCGGTACTCGGTATCTCGTCGAGAATGTCCGCGATTACGTTACGTTTTACATGGCACGATCCCTCTGCGACTGAAACGCGGTCGAGACGACGATGACGACAGTAAGACGGACGTCCGAATGGTCACATCGTCGTTATCGTCGACGTCTAATGGGAGATTCACACGCGAGATCCTCTCTCTCCCCTGGGATATAAGTCGCGAGTCGCGAGTAGATCAGCCGGCGATTGGGCGGACACTGTCTCTCGTCTCGCGCAGCACCGGCACTAACATCATCATCATCATCTTCTCCATCATCGGCATCATCATCATTATTACCAACACCATCACCATCACCGTATCCGTCGTCGTTCACCGTCACCGTTATCGCCTCACGAGCGCACCAAGCGCGAATCGACGACGACGACGACGACGACGAGCCGGCGCGCGCGAAAGGACACCTGATTGACAACGAACCCGTGGACGGCACACGTATGCACGTACGTACGCACGCACGCACGCACAGCACCGCAAATCGCGAATCAACGGCACGCACCGAGGGTATGTCCGCGTTTCTCTCCCTCCGGCGGAGGAGTACGACGGCGCACTTTACCGCGACGTAACGAAACAGTCTCGCACGACACACACAAGGGCTGGCTGGCTGGCTGGCTGGTTGGCTGGCTCGAGTGTCGAGACGCGCGACCTCGAGGCGTCGTCCAGCGACGGCGCCACGCGACGCTCGGCGTCGCGACGCCAGGATTAACGGCGCGGCGAAAATTCGAGACGCCGAGACGACGCCGTGCGTCGACGGCCACGGGGGTAAAGAGGGTTGCTGCTGCACTGACGGTGGTGAACGCAGGTGCGGCACCGGGGTTTCGAACGTTTCGATCGATCCGCTGCTACGCAGCTGGTACGAACGACCAGAGAACTCGAGTACTCGAGCTATTTAACGGGGAACGGCGACACGAGTCGGTAAAAATTAAAAGTCTCGCTTTAAAGAGCGGGAGAGTTTTAAATATGATACGTAATTTTGATTGATAAGTTTCGAATTTTAACAAAAGTCATTGAACAATGTTTTATAAAAAGAAAAGCTGTACTACACTGTTGAATTCGTAATGTCAAATTATACTCAATTCGAGTCATTTTAAACCTATAAGTCAT